GCCGATGTTGCCGAGTCCGCTGGCAACGAGACCGGCGAGAAGTTCTACAAGTACTTGGAAGATGAGACGGCCAAGTATTTGTAGCGTGATCTCTTTTCTATATATATTGTTGATCTTGTTTTAGTTAGGATGGATTTTGAAAATTTCGACACAATCCAATAGTTGTGCCAAGGGTCAGGGTCAATAAGAGGTTTTTTTTGTATGTGAGGGTCAGAAGAAATAGGTTTTAGAAGAGATGGGTTTTTATGTTTCAACTGGTGCAGGCTATAATTTCAGTTAATTTTCGGTAGATATTTAAATAAATTTTAAAATCCTAACATAGCGTCGGTACGAATATGCATATATATGGTAGCGCAGTATAAATGAATGTGATGCAGACTATTCAAAGACGCAATATGGCTTCATTTTGCAGTATATAGCATACTGTTTTGACAAAAAAATAACAAAAATCACTTTTGCCCAGGACCTCTTTAGTCTATAGCTGTACCCATTATTGTGCGGATCTGGATTAGAGATTTCAGCTAAAGTCAACAACAGTTCAAATACTGCGGCGAATCGAAAGGAGTATTACCAGCAACTAGGAACGTTCACATGTACATAAACAAATCTGTTAACACGATTGTAATTTCCCGAAAAGATATAGATGCTAGTTGGAAATAAAATGCACAGGTCTCTGGCTTCAGGATGTTGTTTAACCCATAGACTTCCTTGCATCAAGCTATACGAAAGCTCAGCTATTTTGAGACCAAGTTCGGTTATAAACAATATCAGAATAAGAGATTGCTGGAATTTGTAGGACGAGGCGGGAATCCCAGGCTGTTTTCCATGTGGATAGCGTATGCGCAATGCAGGCTAAAACGCAAGGGGGGACGTCTGACAGCAACTTAAATAGCTTGTCAGATCTCTGCGACGTCTCCAAGTACTAGTGATTATATTTATAATAAGCCCGGATACTACGCCATATTTGGTACGATACCCATTAAAACACTCGTCTTAAGGCCATGCATTATTTCTCTAGCTACGCCACTCGATTATATGTGAGAACATAAATCAAGACGCCATGGGCACAGGCGCATGTCCGGATTGGGCAATTTTAGTAGATGCACGAGATCCGGATCGCAGAACAGAGTAAGCGAGGTTTTAACCTTAGACGACAGTCCCTTTCCATATATGCTTTTCTATAGCTGTATATATACATATACGACCACATACCATTCATCACAGCGTTTCAGTTGACTGACTGGTTTCTTCCAGATTTTAGATCCCAGGTGGCTGATAGAGCAAACTAAAGCTTCCTCTAGCTATTCTCCTTATCAGAGATATGCGCGAAGAGAAGGAGCGCAAACGAGCAGAGCATCGAACGACATTTGCTCATAAGCCTAAACGATATCACACCCGGCTTGTTTTCCTTACCCGGTATAACCGTTTTGGTTATTTTCCCCTAGGACTAAGTTGTATGTATCGATGCCAGAACCCACAAGACCCACAGCGCATACATAACCAGGATTAGCCATAGAAATGCACAAACCAGGGATGTCATATGCGACCTTCACGACATTACGGCTGCATCATTCTTGAGGAGTATTCTGTATACTTGGCTTTTTCCAACGTCGCCAATCCAGAAAGCAGGATGTACCAGTGGTTGATAGTTCGAAATTAAGACTCAGCGTGATGAAGTGGTTTCGGTAATACCCGTGTCTGAGTTGAGCCTCTGTACAGTCCGCATCTGAATGAAACAGACAAGATTTTTTAAACACCCGCTGTAATAACAGCCAACGTGAAAACACAATCATCTTAATCTACCAGGACTCTATAGGGGAAGGTAGACATTAGGAATTATTGGTTGGTTCGTTATAGCCTGTGTGACATGTGTGTTAATGCCTATTCAAGTATCGGGCGTGTCCAAAAGTGGAAAAGTTTTGTCCCAATATATACCACATTGCCACCCTGGCATCGCCCTGGTCCATTACCCCCCCTGTAATTTATCTAGGAAACACGAGAGTACTCCTGAAGAAGATTGTGTTAACGCATGTGGAACTGCCCTCTTTGGTACCTCACACTCAGAGATACTACATGGAAGAGCTATAGTTACCAGTCAGAGCCCCGGGGAGACGTCAGGAGGTTTGTGCATAAAGTGGGGTCATGGTAATAGCCTTGCCATGTGAGATTTTCCCTTATCAACACTAGCCTTTATAAAAATGATAGGCCCCTCTATACACGCTAAGGTAAAAGACCTGGGTCGCCCCTCCTTGCTGGCGTCTGAGGGCTCCTAGTTGGGATTTATAGAAATAAAAACGATTGGTTCACTTCGTAAGTACGAGGACTTCTAGATACGTGAAGAAATCCCGAAAAAGAGTGTTCAAAATACCCTAGAGTGTAGCATGCGGGTTTTACGGGCCAAAGTTCATGCTTATGATGCTCCATTTGCCTGACAAAATACCTGTAAGTATCAACAAATACGTGGAGCAAGGGTCTGAAGCCATACTGCTGGTACTTCGTGGCCTGTTTCTGGAGGTATGAACGTCTCCATTTACGGGTTTTCAATAACGAGTCGGTGTTGCGACCATTTGGATGGCATTTTGTGATCCCGCATTAAACTCGGCGGCTTGTAAGGCTGACATGCATAGTCGCCTACTTATGCATAGTAAAGCCCGCAGCATGTATGCCGTGCAGCTGCATGCACGCCGAAACGAACTCACTGAAACCTGTGGGGACAGCCCCCATGTGAAGAAAAACCGTGCACTCCCGCTTACGCCTTGACGGCAGGTACATGAGTACTGAAAACGGACGGGAGGGAATAGCCATTTGTAACGATACCGCATCACATTCCCTATCCGGGCTGGCACCCTCCATTTATCCGGGAGATAACCATGTGGCAGTTTGGCTATCGTCCCATTTAGATGCTCTACCTGGCCGGAGTTTGGCGGCTCAGGGCAACCTCAATAGAAGATCACCTCTGCATATCTAAGGTTTCTGAGTGTATATTATGTACATACGTTTCGAGAAGCTAGAAGCTCCTTTCCATCAGAGGGCCTTGTAGTGCTTTCTTGGGCTCTAAGTAGAACAACCAGAACGGATAAAAACCTGAGAGATATCAGATCAATGAATCTTTTAGGGATCACTAGGGAAAAATATATAAAATAAAATAAAAAATAAAAAACCCTTTCACATCCGGAACTCACAGGACGGGCCTTGTTCCGTTGCCTCGTTTTGCAGCGTACCTGCTCCTGTTCTTGTCTCTATTTTGTAGACTGCAGCTCGCTTTGCAGCTCGTGCCGCCTCTCGTCTAACCTCTATGACCCTAGCACACGCCTGTCGTCCCCCTTAATCTATCACAGCGACCGGGACCCCTAGACCGCCCGCCGATCGCAAGCTTAACCCGAAATTGTACCTTTCCCATTCAGATCTTATTATGGCGCTGGGCTGCGAGTGAATTTTTCAGGCGCATGGTGCGATGTTAGGCTCACTGCGTAACCAGGCGGGCTGGTGCAAAAGGGTATATAGGCGAGTCAAATCCGTCTAAAAGTTGTATTTTCCATTTCAGCTTCCATTCGCACAGGCCCGATAGCATATTTTAACCGTCAAAAAATCTCATCTACTATTCCAGAGGTTATTCACATTAACCTGCTAACGCTCTCGATTTGCAGATCCTCTTATTGAAGTTTTGCCTCTCTTTGTTATTCGTACCCTTTGCTATTCTGATGGCTGATATCGATTACACCAAGCTGCTCTACCAAACACAGCTTATGTCGCCGCTCACCCAGTCCCCAACATGTCCTCCGCAAACCTCAGGCTACCAATTAGCCGTTGACGAGAGGATGAGGCCTGTCGTTGGGGGCATGTCTGCGCCGGCGCCCGCGGCAAGCGGTAAGGGCCACGCGCGATACTGGAGTTACGGCTCCGATAACGCTTCCAACGCAGTTCTGGCCCCTCTCCCAACCTTTGCGGGCTACACATCGTACCCTACTCCTTCACCACTTGTGTCATCTACACCAGCAAGCGAAGGAAGTTTCTATCCACCGCAGAGCTTCGCCGAGGAAGATCTCCCTTCGGCTACAGCCTTGGCTCCGGCCCCGCCTGTCAAGTGCACATGTCCGCGGCCACCCCAGAACCACATCCCGCGGCCGCGCAACTCATTCATTCTTTTTCGACAGAAGAACCACCAAGCCGTGTTAGACGACGGTGTGATTACAACGAACCCCGAAGTGTCACGTGAGTTGGGGCGCCGCTGGCGCAATCTTCCGCCGGATGAGAAGGAGCACTGGAACCGGTTGGCCGACGAGGAGAAGCGGCTCCACGCAGAAAAGTATCCGGGGTACCGCTATGTACCACGAAAGACGTCAAAGAACTGCCCCATTTGCCGCAAAAAGGCGTTAAAGAGTCTGGAGAAGCCGGAGGAGGAGGAGTACAGACAGGTGTATTTCGCTCAGTCGCAGTACGGACCAGGTTATGACCAGCCACAGTACGGACCGGGCTATGATCAATTCCAGTCAAGACCAGGTTACGACCAGTTGCAGTCGAGACCGGGCTATGACCTTCAGTCGAGGCCAATGTACTCTCACGCCCATTTCCCGCAGGGGGTATATACATACGACCAGCAGAGCGAAATGCCGGTATACCCAGGAGCCCACGTCAGTCCGTCTGTAGGGCCATATTCGGCACAGCCAATGTATTTCGCCCAGCCACAGCTCGAAATGAACCCCGTCGTCCCAATGCCTTATCAGATGCAGTTTCCTACTCGTCCCACAGGTCAGCTCCCCCAATACCAGTTCCAGCCCCAACAAGGGCCTCAGGATCCCTACATCTATCCCGGGTCGTATATTTAGGCCGAATTCTTTGAAATATGTTACGAGTAATAACGGTTGGTCGATTTGTAAGCCAAAAAGAATATGTATTGTTGATCAGAAGATTTTGTAGATTGAGCCTGGCCGCCGTAGGAGATATAGTGGGTCCCTTGGATTGGTTCTAGTGCCCGCGTCCATCTTAAGCTCTCAAAATGAAATTAGCTTACGTTTGTTCACAGAGATGCTTACATTTAGGTTTATCCAAGGTAGAAAACTTGGTGTTTCTACCCTCGGTGTACTTCGAGCCTATCAAGAGATTAAATCTCCTTGTCTCTTGGCACTAAAACTGCACCAAGTTTTATACATTTCGTGGATTATATAAGGTAAAACCAGAGGAACTTTCGTTAAAACATACTTGCCATGTAATCAGCTTTATTTCCAAGCTTATTCTCAAAACTTCGTAGCTATATTCTCAAAACTTCGTAGTTATATTCTCAAAACTTCGTAGTTATAATCTACCCTATCTAGACACATCTGCGGCTACTTATTTTTTGTTTTTACGGAAACGATATTGAGAAGTTATTCGAATTGTCATTTATCCATTAATTCAGTAATCTGATGTATCATCAATAACAAGTGTTCTCCGTTTCCTGGTAGTTTATGGGGAGCTGTATTTCTCCTATAATTTTTTGAGAGACCTAACGCATGGAATACATTTACTTGACACTTGGTGCTAAGGTCACAATTTAACCACTATTCCTTGGAAAAGAACTATATTTATTCCTTCTAAAACCAGAATTATAGATTTACTAGCTTAATAATTGTCTCGATTTATTCTACATTGGCTTCCAAACCTCTGGAATTTCTCAATTTAAACGGTATATACATTTTTGCTCAAATTAGAACAGATACTGACGGAGATACTC